TTTAAACGAACATAACCTAACTTTATCAAGCGACGAGTTAACTCGTCTTCCACAGTTAACAGGTTGAAGTTTTGGATCGACTATATAATATAAGTGAACATAAAAAGTTTGTAGTTAATTGGTTAATCAAAAGAAAGTTAAAATACTGTGCAGAATTTTTATTTAACAAGCCTCAAACATAAATTGAAGTTTATTACAAATACATCATTTGTTATATCTTAAATTCCACATTGTTGTAATGAATGGGGTTAATGTTTGTAATTAATAACTGTGATTTCAATTTTGTAGTAATGAGAATGTTCGAATAAGAGAAGATTTAATACTTGTGAAATAAAATAAGCGACATTGGCCGATGATTGTTATATGAAGTGCATAGTTTGCGTATTTAACCCTTTGAACACTGTGAAGCTGAACTATGGATGACGTGCATTATGCGATGATCATTACCACGAATGCAATACTATACTTTCTCGTATACTGTGCACTGTAGATGTTGAATTATAATCCATACATATCTACGTTTCTTTTTTGATAATTATTCTTATCAAAAAGTGAGATAAAAAGGGTTAAAAATTCTTTTAAAGTTAAAACTTCTTATAATTTAAAAAACTTAAATAAGAATCTTTTAGGTTAAATGAAATCATTTTTTAAATTATAAAATACGAATCATTTTTTATTTAAAAAATCTTATTTTAAATCATGCAAAGGTGAAATAAATAGAACTATTGTATTAATTTCAAATATTTTACGCTGACAGTGTTCAAACGGTGAGTAAAAAAACACGTATGCATAATTGCTAAATATACACTGTGTCAAGTAATAAAATTAATGAATTGATATGAATTAGTGAATTGTTAACCATATAAGGAGGAATAACACAGAAGGTAGCGAACGTGTTAAAAAATGTCTTCTGAGAAAGATCTGCAACGAAATGATTAAATAAATGCAAGAAACACAGAGGTGCAAGAATAGAGAAGAATCATCATGCAGAAGGGTACAGAGGATGCACGGTTCATTAATGGCGTATGTACACGTTTCTATGACAGGGAACGAATGTAGCGGGGAAAACGTGGCAATTATACAAACGTTAATCTCAAATGGTACTTTTATTTCGAATTATTTGAGAGAACGTTGATGCTTTCGGACTATACTTTGAAAAATTTCAATGTTAATCGAATTATACGAGTTTGAGAAAACGAAGTTTGAACATATGAGATCCTCCATGCGGATGGAAGATAATTGAAGAGTTCCATATTGCAGCGTTACATGTGCGAAATTTTCAGAAACTGAGATCACAACATTGTAACGTCATATATATAGCGGGTGATCAAATTGTTACGATCACTTCGAAATTACGTATCACTTATTTGAAGTTTGAACAAGAATGGAATTAAAAATACACCTAAAATGAAACCTCTTTTTATTGCACAATGTATTGTTTTAAAGTTTTTGCAAATTATTTGAAAATTCTGAGAAATATATGTGCGATATATATTTGAAAATCCATAAATATATACATTTGGAATTTTGGGAATTTGGGAATTTGGAAATCTGGTATTTTGAGAATTTGGAAGTTTGAGAATTTGAGAATCTGGAATTTTGAGAATTTGGGAATATGGAAGTTTGAGAATTTGGGAATATGGAATTTTGAGAATTTGGAAATCTGAAAATTTGGGAATCTGGAAGTTTGAGAATTTGGGAATATGGAATTTTGAGAATTTGGAAATCTGAAAATTTGGGAATCTGGAAGTTTGAGAATTTGGGAATCTGGAATTTTGAGAATTTGGGAATATGGAAGTTTGAGAATTTGGGAATATGGAATTTTGAGAATTTGGGAATATGGAAGTTTGAGAATTTGGGAATCTGAAAATATGGGAATTTGGAAATCTGGAAGTTTGAGAATTTGGGAATCTGCAATTTCGAGAATTCGGGAATCTAAAATTTTATAATCCCTAAATATACATGTACATTTCATCATGACACCCTTAGTATTAATACTACCCACAAAAAAAAGTACGTTCACCCTAACTTCATTTGTTACAAATATTTTTCCATCAACTGAAAAATTGTTTAAACTGTGCACCGACCATTTTCGTTCATGCCACATCAATTGTCTCCTCCGGCAGAACCCGACACTTTCCAAGAGAGAGAAAGGGGACTTCTACACTCTAAAGAAACTCCAACTGGGCCTTACAAACGTTCATGTTCAAAACTCCAGGCCCCGTAGAGCTTTTTTTTTAGAAAATGTCGAGGGGTCCAGGATGCTAGATCTTTCTTTTTAGTATCCTTGTTCAGGTAGAAAATTCGCTACAATCGCCGGGGCTTATTGCCTCTCGTCGACCATTTTTTTTTTCTTCTCTCTGGGACCGTACAAAGGCAAAGAGAGAGGAGAGAGAATGAGAGAAAGAGGGGAAGAGAGGAGAGGAGAGGCTGGCCCAAAGCAACGGGGCCTGGATATTCCGGTTCACTTAATCGTTTCTTCGGACTTGCTAGCAGGGCCGTCTCTCTTCTCTCTCTGGCCCCTCGACGAAAAAAAAAAAGTTGAAAATAACAACATGGCTGCGCGCTTGCCGTGGGTACACAAAGACCAGCCAGAAAATGGCCTTTCTAGCCTCCATAGTGAAGTGTACCACCCAAAAATTCTTCGCCTCAACTGTGCGTGGAAGAGACTTTTTTCTTTTCCCTTTTTTCAAAGTGAAGGAGGAGACAGGTTTCTTTGGGTTGGTCCTGCAGACCGTTCTTGCAGGAAGTTTTAGGGGCTGCTTTGAAAATATGATCTTTCACGAACATCTCGGTGGAAATTCGAACGTTAATGTACAGGGTGATACAAAAT